ATTCCCACTATGAGTCCTCGCAAAAGAGGCGCCCACGTGAACTGCCATGAGAGCGTGCACCTGGATCGTGGTTATCGACCTCATCAAATCTGATTGGTCCATGTCTCCGAAACCTTCTCATCACGCGGATTAATAAATACACGCAGCCTTTTTGTAAGAATGACTTGTGGCAATGGAGACATTCCCAACAGTTCCTTATTAAAAAGGAGTCATTGCGGAAAATTTCATATACGCGTACTGGGAATCGGAATCCAGCTGATACCTCCAAATGGGCGTTCGCGTCTGTACCTGCCAATTGTGATGGTTACTTGAATTTCTTTCCTAATATTACGTGATGGGTCTATTGTAGTTTGGGCAAGACTTAGACGCAGGGGATCAGTACAGGCAACATATACTTTCTCTAACTCAGTTGCCCCCCCCCTCATCCCGTCGTTGTCCCTCTGAACAACTAATTTTGAGTATAGTTGCAAGCGCGCCAGACAGAGACAGCACTCTGAGACATGCAATGAACGGGATATTAGTTTGGACAAGTAGTGTACGCGAGAAGGCTTAAGGGTTTGTGTGCCGAGCAAATTGCGCAGCACGCTAGACTGCGAGGCCTGAAGCATACTGTCTAATTTGTTTTAGCGCCGAGTTCCGCAGTTAGAAAATTCTGCGCTTATTTTTGCTCGCCGCACTAACCTTCTTTACCAGTGGAAACGCGTCTTTTAGGATTTTTCGTTTGACCATAGTTTATTTATTTCATTACCATACAACAGTACAGGCCTGAAGAGAATTTATCAAAAGCAAACCTACGCACGTTAATTTATCTTTTAAACTTTTTACTCATACTTCGACATCGCCTATTAAATAAATCGATTTAATGACCACGACTAAGCCTACGTAGATCGATTTGCTTTGGCTTTGTCGAGCGCTTTCCAAGGCTTTGCTCTTCAGCGCGTGCATTGCCTCAATCCTTGTTAAGTGTTTATTCCCACCTCCTCTTCCCTTACCATCTTCCGGACGACTTCCAGCCCTCCTGGACACAATTGTAAACCTGACATACCGAACCGTTCCATCATCTACTACTCGTGCGTGTTTCTGTTTGCAGAACCATTGCAAAGCGCTAGCGGTCGTGGTTTAAACGTTCCCAAGCAACGGGACAAATCCATCCTATCCCGAAAGGCAAGTCGGGCAGCTACGATTCCTTAATGTGGCCTTTGTGGCACCCTCGCCACATTTTGTAGGATGGTTCGTGTGGCGTTAGGGGTAACATGTGTTTGGTACGCCTAGGACCCACCTTTGGCCCGAATCGCGACGGTCGAACACTCGTCATTATTTTTATTATTATTATTTG